GGACAAATTGTCAAGGGGAATCTTTACCTTTGCCTAGGTTTTGACTGTGTCTACGTTGAATGTACTTTTGTTTGAAACTTTCGATAGTTGTAAACATTTTTATGACTAGAAAATAAGCCCTAGTATGACTTCCGGGATGCTCGAAATATAAGCCCTACCCCCAAAATAAGCCCTAGTGAAGTGAAAGCCCGCCTTCCACCCTTGTGCAGCAACCAGAAGAAGAGGATATGACTGTATTTGAATAAAAGTAGATTGTTATACGTAAAAAAAATAAAACATCCCTTGAAAATAAACCCTAATGCTTTCTTTGGAGCAAAAATTGATACAAGACCCTGTCTTATTTTCAGGGAAACATGGTATTACTCAATCTAAACATTTGCACATTCATAACTGTAAAACTTATTTTTATAAGAGAAAGTGTAGGCCTCCTTCAGTCTTGAGAGACGATGGTCACGTGCTTTGGATGGAGGTCTTGGGACAGCGTCTAGTGTGGCTGAGGAGGCCAATTCGAGAGTGACCGTCCCTTCCACGCTGAAGACAAATCCAATCTGTCCCCTGTCCAGCTCCCCGATTTTGCTGTTTCAGGGACTGCCTCTTTGCTCCGGCCTGCTGGACAAGGGTCTCTTCAAATTGGGAGAGGCCGTGATGCACCGCCTGCCTCCAGGCAGAACACTCAGAGGTCAAGGTTTCCCACCTTTTGAGGTCCATTCCTAAGGCCTTCATATCCCGCTTGTGGATCTCCTTGTATCGCAGCTGTGGTCTCCCTCTGCACTCATTCTCCATACAGTAAATATTTTGGAATCCAACCCTCAGCCATTCTCACGACATGCCTAAGCCAACGTAGACATTGCTTAGAGAAAGTCTAACGTAGACATCTAAGAGAAAGTAAATGCACCTTAACTATCAAGTTAGATCTTTTCAATAATTTTGGATTTTTTTGTCCTAGAGAGAGAGATAGAGAGCATAGATGCGATGTAGATGAAGAAAGCTTGTAACTTGTGCAAAGGACTGGCTATTTGTGAGAGGCTACTTCTGGCAAGCGGCTAGTTTCACCAGTCTGGGAAAATGCAATATAAAAGCCCTTGGCTCCTCCACCCCTTACACTTTACAGTGTTACTCTTTAACTGTTTCAGCAATATTTCATCACTGCATTCCTTTACACTTTGTTAATAATACATATGCTCTTTTCAGTTCAATGTATTGCTTGTTTATGCTTCCGATGAACATCAATAACCTTTCACCATTGTGTCCATTATTTCAGGACATTTTATATTGGTTTAAATGATTGATGAGGCTCACTAGAGATTTTAAAAAGTGGGAATAAAGAACACCCCCCTTGCGCGCTTTTGCCTCCCATGCCCTGTGATTGTGTTGCTATCCAAGCTGAGCGGCAGCTGCTTGAGAGCATTTTGCCCCGAGTTGCAGGTGGAAGGTGGCTGTCTATGATCTTCTTGTCCAGGTCTGCTGTTTGGGCATTTATCCTGGTTAGCAAACCGTAGGCCTTCTCCAATTGTGGCTTTGCTTTTCGGCTCAGTTGCTGCAGGTCTTATTGTTTGGGAAAGGTCTGGTGCAACTTTTAAGGTTTACTCTGTGGTGGCTTCTCCATTCGGGCAAATGGCACCCCCAGGCAGCCCATCCCCACCTGCTGCCTGACTAGAGTGGTGGGTGAGTAGGGTTGTGTGGGTTTGCCTGCTCCTCCTGCTGTGTGCATGGGGAGAATGCCCGCATGCCTGCCTGCTGGCTGGCCTGTCTGCTCATGGCAATGCACGTGCACCTGCATGAATTCCTGCCACTTGCCCCCTCCCCACTTCTGCCTGCACCCTCCGCCCTGTCAGGTGCCACTGTTTTTCTTAGATTCCCCACACACACACGCACACAAGGTTGTGCTCAGATGTTTGTTACGTGGCAAATGCCCTGCGGTGGAGGCCAGGCGTCCAGGCTGAGGCTGACGGGTGGGAGGAGAGTCACTGATGTCTTGGTGGAACTTCGCCAGGGATTGCCATCTGAGTCCAGATGTGAGCCAGGGAACAAGACCCTTTCCCATGGCTTTCTTCTCTGTGTGTTGGGATCCAGATGATGCAAGGCAGCAGCAGCAGCACGCCTCCCCCTCCCACACACTTGTTGCTTAGTCGTTTAGTCGTGGACTCTTTGTGACCCCATGGACCAGAGCACGCCAGGCCCTCCTGTCTTCCACTGCCTCCCGGAGGTCTGTCAAATTCATGTTGGTCATTTCCATGACCCTGTCCAACCATCCCGTCCTCTGTCGTCCCCTTCTCCTCTTGCCTTTACACTTTCCTAACATCAGGGTCTTTTCCAGGGAGTCTTCTCTTCTCATGAGATGGCCAAAGTCCCGGAGCCTCAACTTCAGGATCTGTCCTTCCAGTGAGCCCTCAGGGTTGATTTCCTTCAAAATGGATAGGTTTGTTCTCCTTGCAGTCCAGGGGACTTTCAAGAGCCTCCTCCAGCATCACGATTCAAAAGCGTCAATTCTTCAACAGTCAGCCTTCTTTATGGTCCAGCTCTCTATTCAGTCTGTTCTGCAACTTTTCTCTCCCCCCCCCCCGCCCAGGGCTGGGCCCCATCTTAGTTCTGTGGCTGGAGGAGTCCTGGCTCTCTTGAACCGTCCTGAAGAGCCTGCGAAGGGTCCAGGGCTCCACAGGTCAGGGCTTTTTCCCGGACTCAACCCCGGGAGTCCCTCCCAGTCTTGTCCCTCTGCCCAAGCTGAGCAAAAGCAGGCCTTCTCGCCCGCCTTTTCTCTGATGCCTCTGGACTTAGGCTTCTGTCTCCGGGTGCAGTAAGGGAGCTCCAGAGCCCAAGGTGGACCGTGTTTCAATGTGAAACGGGTCTTTGCACCTTGAAGGAGAAAACAGGCAGGGCCCAGGAACCCTCCTCCATGTTGCAGAGTTTTGGATTTTTGGTTAAAGTTCCTTTAGCTGTGCAGCAGAAGTTGAGACAGTAGCGGAAAGAGTTTAAACATTTTTCTTTACTTACCATTTTTAACATAACAAACACCAAACTGAGAAACATGATTGCTTTCAACAACAGACTTTGACAGATTCCAGAAGGACAGGAACACGGAGCAGAGAGTCTGGGCTCTCTTTGAATTCGGAAGCACGGAAGGAATTATTGTTTAATGCGGGATAGACTGACGGTCGAAGAATGGATGCCTTTGAATTGTGGTGCTGGAGGAGGCTCTTGAGAATCCCCTGGACTGCAAGGAAAACAAACCTATCAATTCTAAAGGAAATCAACCCCGAGTGCTCACTGGAAGGACAAATCCTGAAGTTGAGGCTCCAGTACTTTGGCCATCTAATGAGAAGAGAAGACTCCCTGGAAAAGACCCTTATGTTGGGAAAGTGTGAGGGCAAGAGGAGAAGGGGACGACCGAGGATGAGATGGCTGGACAGTGTCTGCGAAGCAACCAACATGAATTTGACACAACTCCGAAAGGCAGTGGCAGACAGGAGGGCCTGGCGTGCTCTGGTCCATGGGGTCACGAAGAGTCGGACACGACTAAACGACTAAACTACTGCTACTACTAGACTGACGGTCACCCCAGCCAGGAAAGTCCCTCCCAGCCAGACCTTTTCCAGACAGCATGCGAAGTTGTTAAAAAAAAGGCTCGATTCCTTGACCCTGGAGTGGTTTAGCACGAGAGGTCCGAAGTCCGGCTACGCCCAGACCTCCCATCCGCTTCCGGGGCTGCCGGCGAGGAAGGCGATCACTGGCCTCCCGCTGGAGATGCGTCTTTGGGGCGGGGGGGGGGAATAAGGCAAGCTCCGGGATTCCTTGTTCTGGATTAATGTGTAACTGGCAAGCAGGGTGGGGCCGCCAGCAGGGGCCCAGCGCAATGGAAGCCTCTCAGGCACAGGTTCGGCCCAGGCATCGCGGTGGCTGCGGGGTGAGGGTGTCGGGGAGGCAGAGGAGCTGCGCTGGAGAAGGGAAGGCGCGCGGCCAGGGGAGGGAGGGAGGGAGGGAGGGAAGACCGCTTGGACCGGGCCAGCCCCACTGTTTCCTTCCCCAGAAGTTGCCGGCAGGCAGACGGACAGACCGGGGGGTCACCCCGCCCGGCTCTGAACCTCGGCCGAGAGGCAGAGGCTTCCCCGGGCCCTTCGGTCGGAGCTCCTCTACGGGACGGGAGAGTCCCGGGTCCACCGGGCGGGGCGGGGTCTGGGGGTTCTTGCCATGCGGAAACCAGCGGGAAAGCTTTCCCTTAAACCGGTGCGTCTCTCTGGAAGAAGGGAATTGGAAAGACGAGGAACATGGAAGGTGCGCAGGGCGCAGGTCAAGCGCCCCCAGGAAGGCAGCCGGCCAACCAGCCTGCCTCCGAGGAAGAAGCGGTGGCAACGCGCGTGTAGGATTTGCGGCCATTTCCGGAGCCGCGTAGCTACGGACAGGACTTTTTCTGGTCCAGGACTCGCCTAGGACTGTGCCCGCGGAGGCCTGGCTCTTCTGTGGAGGTTGAGGCTCAGGAGGTTGGCGCCTCCCCGCGGCTGCGTTTGCGCTCCTTTCCAAGGCGCTAAGGATCTGCGCAGGCTAACTGCCCCCTCTGCTGCTCGGTCCTCCTGTGACCGAAGACACGGATGCCGGGAGGGCAGGCGGGATGGCGAGAGGGCAGGCTGGCCTTGGCTCAGCCACCCCTCAGGGGCTCCCACCGGGAAGAGTCCGAGGGCTCCGCTACTTCCTCTCGCTCCGGCCCCTGCTCAGGAGGGTGGCGTCTTAAAGCAGCCTTTCCCGCCCGGGGCCTTCCCGATGCGAGGGAAAGCAAACGTCTCGGGTTCCCCTCCCCCCCCCGCCAGCCCCACTTCGCCCCAATTAGCCAGGCTGGCAGTATTTTTACCGGGCTGGGCTTCTTAGCATTGAGAATTAATCGCGCGCCCTGGTGAGCCCCATCCCGCGGAAATGTCCTGGGATCTCAGAGGCGAGAGGAGGGCGCCTGGCCCACGCGCTCAGCGCCACGAGACACCGGAGGCAGCGGGGGCGCTGGGTTCCTTCCCGGCGCAGAAGATGCTCTGATTCTGACCGGCAGGGGCCGCGAACACCGCTCCGGCGGTTGGGAAGCCGTCGGGCAAAAAGTGGCCCCAAGGGGCCCCGGGCGCGCCGGGCAGGCATTCCGCGAGAAACAGAAGCACTGCGAAGTCCAGCGGTTTCTCCCACAGGCCAGCGTGGCTCCTTGGGGCTGCTCTTCGCTCTAATCCCTGCCCCTTCGCCACCCGCGCCCTGCTTTTCCTCTCCAAGGCACAACAACCCAAGCCGCACCTGCCCCATTGGCTTCGGGTACCGCAGCCGCCACCACCACCACCCCAGCATGGTAGGAAAACCGGGCGAGCGCTGGAGGCGCAGCCGCCCGCCCGCCCGGCTGGCTGGCTGGCTGGCACGCCGGCGGCCAGTTGCCTAGTAACAGGTTGGCATCTTGTTTGCCAGCGC